GATGTGCTTCGTTCTGTGCTCCAGTCTGTGCTCTCGACACAAGGCCAGCATGGCCTTGTTGTCTACGTACAGCACTGGAGGAGAACGAGGCGGCTCTCCGAGGTCACTCAGCAGGTAGGTGAGCCAGCAAAGCTCTTGTGCAGCCATGGCCCCAGCGTAGATCTCAACCTCACAACTGGAGCCGAGAACAGAAGACGAGCGGGTAGACCGCCACGAAACAGAGCCGAAACCAAGGCTGAAGGTGTAACCCTGTGACGACCGCTGCGTAGCCTGGTCATCAGCCCAAGAAGCGTTTGCGTGACCAGTGAGGACTACTCGAATCTGCCCTCCAAGCACAAGCCCCATGCTCGACGTACTGCACAGGTAGCGCAACACCCTCTTCGCTGCAGCCATGTGCTCCGGTCTGTATCTCCTAGGAGCAACATAGCGTGCCAGAATGCTAAGAGGGTATGCAAGGTCTGGACGTGTGCAGGTCATCAGGTACATGAGGCAGCCAACAAGCTCTGGGTACGGGCCACTCGACTCTACGGACTCATCCGAAGGCAGAGCTGTGAGCGAGTGGCGAGTAGACAGAGGAGTGGCTTGAGGCGAGGAGTACGTAAAGCCGAAGCGCTGAAGGACCTGCTGCACCATGTGTGACTGAGTCAGGGTAATGGTGCGCTGTGCTCTGTCCTGGGTGATCTGCAAGCCAAGGTAGCTGCGCAGCTCACCCAGGTCTGTGCACGTGTGTCTCTTCTTCAGCTCCGACTTCACGTGGGCGAGTCCAGCAGTGTCAGCTGTGGCAAAGACCAAGTCGTCGACGTACACGAGGATGTAGAACGGCGGCAGAGAGGTGTCGGTGCGTAGAAACAGCGACGGGTCGGTAGTAGAAGGAGCAAACCCAAGAGCCGCAAGTGTAGTCCTCAGTGTGTCGTGCCACTGACGAGGTGCCTGGCGGAGACCGTAGACTGGCTGCCGGAGGCTCCACTGGGTACCAGGAGGAAACAACCCAGAGAAGCAAGGAGGGCGACGCAGCCAGATCTCCTCGTGCAGGCCGCCCTGCAAGAAAGCAGTACTGAAGTCAAGAGAGTGAAGGTCGTAGTCGCGCTGAGCGGCTATGTGCAGCAGTACCCGAAGAGTGGTCATCTTCGGGGTGGGAGAGAAGGTCTGAAAGTGGTCAACTCCCTGCCGCTGTCTGAAGCCACGAGCCACGTAACGCGCCTTGAAGACCGGCGGAGAACCCGGCGGCCGCTTCACCCTGAAAATCCACATGCCATTGACGATGTTCGCCCCTCGTCGACGTAGGTGCCTGTGGACTTCCAGGAAGCCATCTCTGCGTCTATGGCTGCCTGTCACTGAGGAGTAGGGACCCTCTATCGCCTCCGCGTAAGAGCGCGGAGTCGGGATGTGAAGTGCATCCGGGTCTCCCTCAGGGGTAAGAAGTACGGACACGAGATGAGGTGAAGCAGCAGCCAAACACTGGAGCTCCTCCTGCCTGTCCTCAAGGACGTCCGTGCCAAGGGCACACTCACCCCCGACGGACGGAGGACACACAGACTCAGACTCAGAAACAAGAGTAGCAGCTTAGTCTAGACGACAGCGAGCAGCAAAGTCGACGAGCTCAGTGACCAAGGCAGACGCAGCAGCGGACTCAAAGATAGGGCCAGTGACGACAGTAGCAAGGAGACGCGTGACAGTAGGACTGGCAGCACGAAGGGAGTCTCACTCCAGGTCAGCAAGAGCAGGAAAAGAGGACTCAGGAGGAGAAGCCAAAGGGGCACGCAGAGGAGTAGTGGACGGACGGAGAGACATCCGGTGCGTGCCAGGCATAGGGGGAGGACGCTGACGCGAACCACGACCACTAGCGCGAGCAGCACGGACAGGCGACGCAGGACGAGACGCAGGCTCACGACGCTCAGCAAGACCTCCAGTAGGACCAGTGTAGGGAGAAGGAGCAGGCAGTTGAGAGGCCGGCTGTAACTGTAACTGCGACGGGACCGGCTGTGGACACTCTAAGGGAGGACGAGGACCAGTAGAAGGCGGGAGACGAAGAACCTGCTCAAGGAGCGGAACGAAGTATGGCCGAGGCCGCGCAGCGACTCCAAAAAGAGCAGGGACAGCACCAGTACCCCCAGTGGTAGCACCAGCGCCAGCAGCACTTCCAGCTCTAGAACCCCTAGCAGCTCCACTAGCTCCAGGGCCTCCAGCAGCACCAACATCTCCACCAGCAGGACCACCTATAGTAACGCCAGCAGTACCCTCAGCGCCAACACCCTCAGCAGCTCCAGCTCCAGCCGGACCACGAGAAGACGCAGTAGCTCCAGCTCCAGCAGCACCCGCAGACCCAGCAGCTCCAGTACTCCCAGTACGAGCACCTCCGGGACCCGGGGGACCAGCACCCGCAGCAGCAAGAGAACCTCCTGCTCCAGCAGCACGCCTCCAGCGCCGGGCAAACCACTCACGCACCTTTGGAGAGAGGAGCTCCCGCTGAGACGAAGCACCCGGAGAACCTCCACGCCCAGCACCGCTAGACGCCACACGAGTAGGCCCAGCACCCTCAGGCTCCGCACCCCCAGGCTCAGCACCTCCATGCGTAGCACCCCCAGGCTCAGCACCCCCAGTCGTAGCACCCCCAGGCTCAGCACCCCCAGTCGTAGCACCCCCAGGCTCAGCACCCCCAGTCGTAGCACCCTCAGGCTCAGCACCCCCAGGCGTAGCACCCCCAGGCTCAGCACCCCCGGAGTCAGCAACCCCAGGCTCAGCACCCCCAGCAGCACCAGAGTCAACAGCTACCTCAACAGGCTCGACTGCGTCTACCTGGGACCCACCTGAGGGGGCAGGACCCTAAGGGGGAAGGGGGACTACCGGGGGGGGACCTGGCACAAGGAAGAGCGGTGGCGGGGGGAGGGACGGAGTGCGGTAGGGGAAGAGATGGTAGTAGGGAACCGACTTGTCAACGGGAGTTGGGTATTGGCCCCGTCCTCGCTTGGGCGGAACCGACTTCGTGGTCGGGTGTGAGGGGAGCAGCCGACCTGCAGCAGTGGGTGAGCATGTCGACGAGGAGGTCGACCTGCACGGGGGACCACTGCACGGGCGCCGACTTCAGGGTGGCGCCGACTTCAGGGAGGTCGACTTGGGAGTCGACCTGCGGAGGACGTCAACTAGGTGAAGCCGACTTCGGCGGTCGGCTAACGGACCGCTGGTTGACCTGCGGGTGGTCGACTGGACCTGGTGGTCGACAAAGGAGGGACCGACATCGACCTTGACGCAGGACGCCGAGTAGTTGGGCATCGAATAGCGGGGCGTCAACTTCGTGACGCCAGCTTCGGGTGGCCGACGTGGGTGGTCGGCCGACGACTGTGCTGGTCGACGAGGAGCAGGTCGACCAGGAGTACTGGTCGATGTGGAGCCGGTCGACCAGAGGGGACGTCGACCTGGAGGAGGTCGACGTGGAGGTGGTCGTCGACTTGGGAGGTCGACGGGCACGAACGGGAGCTGCTGGTCGACGTGGTTGCTTGGTCGACCAGGTTACCTGGGTGACGAAGTGCTGCGGAGGAGTGCGACGGTCGCCTAGGCGAAGTTGGCGAGCCCAACCTCGGTGGTGGTATCCTGCGGTCGACGTGGCCGATCAGAGGTAGTCGCCAGCCCGAGGTTGACGTGGTGTGTGCGCTGTGCAGGTGACGAGACTCTGCACGCCAATCATCTGCGTGCAACTGCGAAGCAGGGTGCACTGCTGTCCTGCGTGAGTAATGCTGTCACGCCGTCAACCTGCGACGTTGGCACGCCGTCGACCTTGCCTTGCTGGAGCGCGGTCGACCAAGTCGTGCTGGAGCGCGGTCGACCAAGCTGCGCTGGCAGTTGGCCGACCTGAATGCTTGCTCTGATGTAGTCTTGCTATGCCAACTTCATTGCATCATTGTTGTCATGTTTTCCTAGTGAAACTCTTGCAAATTCTCCCCGTGAACTAGGAAGGAGCGTGAACACGACTAAGTGAACGAACGCAGAGATCACACGAGCACACGTGCCTAGCCCGTAGCCTAGCTCCCATTGCTGCAGTTATCTTCGCATGGTGCGGTGAGCGTGGAAGACACCGCGACGTAGTTCAGTCTAGCCGACTTAGCACATCCCGATCGTGTTCGTAGACCGGCAGCCGTGCAGTCACTAGCGTGCGCGTAGGCGACGCCGAGGTGATGGACACCCTGGAGGGACGGCTGGAGGATGCGAGGAGACGCCATGAGGCCCAGGAGTATGGGGCGATACCCTGGACAGTCGTCGAGGCCGGACTCCGCTCCGTGTGGGCGGCGGAGCACCCCCCTTCTTGACCTGCCTCTCCTCGACCGGTGAACAACGACGGCGGCGTCGACGTGGGTGTCAACGCCGGTGGAGGTCAGGTCGGCAGCAGTGTGGGAGGCACGTCGAGGCACCGAGGTGTGATACACGCCGGTGAAGTCGGCGGTGTTTAGACGCGAGGGGTGTAGTCGTCGGCGGCTGCAGGCTACTCGCAGGTCGACGTCGGAGGACGACGAAGCGGATTGTCGCCGATGTCAGCGTCCCAGGTGACGGCAGGTGGGATTGCGCTGAGCTACGGCTACTTCAAGTTTACGCTGGACAGGATCTCGGTCACCCCTCCGCTGGTCGGTCGACCCGACATTCTCACCTGGAAGGAAGCCATCGAGCCCCAGCTGGAGATGGCCGGGCTGATCGGCTTCGCCCGAGGGACCGTGGCGACGCCGGGGGAGCACCACCCCGACTTGCGGGCGGAGTTTCGCGCCGTGCAGATGTTGACCTTCACGGTCATCTCGCGGTGCTGCTCGCCGGGCGTGCAGATCGCTTTGAAGTGGTGTCGGGAGTACATCGACGCCGGCCACCGGGCGTGGAACTTTATTGAGTCGACGTACCAGGTCACCGACGACCTGTTCATCGCCCAGCTGGAGGGACAGCTGACGCACCTGCGTATGGGTGACGAGGAGACAGCGACTGACTACTGCAACCGAGCCCGGCGAATTCTCGCCACTATCAGGATGGCCGGCGCGCAGTACTCCACGGCGTCGTACATCACCCATGTCATGCAGGGTCTCTCTAGCAGCTACAACCTGCTGAAGCGGCTGTCTATGGCGCCGAGTGTCAGATGATTATATATTGCTGATGCATATATGTAGGCTGTAGTGGGGTAGCCCATAGGGGGTACAACCCAATTAGGGTTGGTACTTGTACTTGTTTCATTTCATAGTGCACCACTCCTCGCCTCTATCTCAACATGGTATCGAGCAGGTTCCCTAGTGGGAACTGTTCCTAGGGCCCACCTACTATTCAGTCCTGCCCGGAGCGCGCTCTGCCCTACCCCGAGTCGCGCTGGGCCCTTTTTTTTTTTCCTTTGGCGGCCCGATCGCGTCGAGCCGCCCGCGATTTTTTTTTTGGCGCGCCACCTACGCGGCCTCGTCGCACCACCCCTAGACGGCCGCGCCGCGTCGCGCGTGCCGCCCTCCAGACGCGCGCCGCCCCCTCTGACCCTCGCGACGCCGGCGCCGTCTCTGACGGCCCCGCGATCGCCTGCGACGGCGTTGCCGTCCCCTCTACCGGCCCCTCCGCTGCACTTGACGGCCCCGCCGTCCCCTCTGCCGGCCCCGCTGCTGCACCCGACGGCCCCGCTGTCCCCTCTGCCGGCCCCACCACTGCACCTGACGGCCCCGCCGTCCCCTCTGACGGCCCCGCCGCTGCACCTGACGGCCCCGCCGTCCCCTCTGACGGCCCCGCCACTGCACCTACTGGCCCCGCCGCTACCCCTGACGGCCCCACTGCTGCACCTGCAGGCCCCGCCGTCTCACCTGCCGGCCCCGCTGCTGTACCTGACGGCCCCGCCGCTTCACCTACCGGCCCCGCCACTACCCCTGACGGCCCCGCCACTGCATCTCCCGGCCCCGCAACTGCATCTCCCGGCCCCGCCGCCCCAGCAACTGCGCCGCCCCAGCAGCCGAGCCGCCCCAGCAGCTGAGCAGCCCCAGCAGCCGAGCCGCCCCAGCAGCCGGGCCGCCCCAGCAGCCGAGCCGCCCGAGCCGCCCGAGCAGCCCAGCAACCGAGCCGCCGAGCCGCCCGAGCCGCCCGAGGCGCCTGCACTGCCCTGTCTGGTGAGCACTGAGCTTTACTCTGCGCAGTGCCCTCACCCTACTGCTGTCATGGCTACCCCCAGTGTCCTCACCTTTGACACTGAGGGCAGAGCCATCGACTTTGACGTGTGGGTAGACGACCTACTGCTTTTCCTATAGTGCGACAGAGCTGACGTCCTCTCTCTCTTTGATCTCACTTCTGGTGCCTCTCCCGCCCCTGCTGCTATTGAGGATGCCACTGTTCGCTCATAGTGGGCCACACGCGATGCTGCTGCACGTCTTGCTGTGCGTCGCCACCTCCCTCCCTCTGAGCGTGCACACTTTGGGTCGTACAAGAGTGCTCAAACCCTGTACGACGCCGTTATTGCACGCTACTCCTCCCCTGCCACTGCTGCACTGAGCCGCCTCATGCTACAGTACCTCTTTCCCGACCTTACTTCTTTTGCCACGGTCACCGACCTCATTACCCACCTGCGCACTAGTGACGCTCGCTTCCGCGCTGCGCTTCCTGCTGAGTTCTGCGCCAAGAACCCCCCCCCCCCATGTATTTCACTCTCTACTACATTGTCACCCGCCTCCCTGACTCCCTTCGCGGAGTCAGGGACGACTTACTCTCAGTCTGCCCCACCACTCTCACTGTTGACCTCCTCGAGAAGTCCCTCCTAGCAGCCGAGAAGAGCATTCTCGCTGTAGGGGCCTCTCGTGGTGACCCGCGCACCCCCATCTTTGAGGGGTGTTCCCCCTCCCCCCTCCTTCCCTCTGTCGCCTCTGCTGCTACGGCCGACCTAGTTGGTTTTGAGTCGGTCGGTGCGGCGTCTGCCCCCAGTGGGAGACGTCGCTCTGGCAAGGGCAAGGGGGGCAGGAGCGGTGGTGGAGGCGGCGGGGGTGGTGGAGGCGGCGGTGGAGGCAGCGGAGGAGGTGGGGGTAGTGGCGGGAGTGGTGGCGGGAGTGGAGGTGTCAGCGGCGGCAGTGGAGGCGGGGGCGGCAGCGGCGGTGGTGGTGGGAGTGGAGGCGGAGGCGGCGGTGGCGGCGGCGACGGTGGGAGTGGTGGTGGCAGCGGAGGAGGTGGCGGCGGCGGCGGAGGAGGCGGCGGCGGAGGTCGTGGCTCGTCGCAGAGGAGTGGCTTCGGTGGTGGTCAGCGCCAGCAGCAGCGGCAGCAGCGTGGTCAGGAGACCCTCTCCCCGCAGCAGCTCTGTGAGTGGTACGCTGCACGTCAGAGGGGTGGGGGTACTGGTCCGTGCACCTACGTCCTGCGCACTGGCGACCGTGCGGGTGAGCCGTGTGGTGGTCCACACTCCACCCAGCGCTGCTTTGGCCGCCTGACTGACGCTTGGCGCCGCCAGTTTCCTGACGCCTCTGAGATCCCTCGCTGGGACCAGCTGTCTAGGGCAGGAGTAGCTATCTTTGATCTTGACTTTGATGCTATTCTTGCTGCCATGTATGCTGTGACTATTAGTGAGGAGGGTGACTGTTACCAGTGTTTCCCGCCCGACCCGGGCATTGGTACTGCGGCTCTAGGTGCTGTTGAGGCTGCTGCTCCAGGTGCTGGTGAGGCTGTCGCTCTAGGTGCCAGTGAGTCTGTGTCCTCAGGTGCTGGTGAGTCTGCTCTCTCCGGTACTGCGTCGGCTCCGCCCTCTCTCACCTTCACTCTTGACTCAGGAGCGTCTCGCTCCTTCTTTCGAGACCGCACCACACTCACGCCGCTTAGTCGGCCAGTGGCAGTCTCCCTGGCGGACCCCTCTGGGGGTCCTGTTCTGGCTCGCTACTCCACTGTCCTTCCGTGCCCTGCGGTCCCGTCTGGCTCCCTGTCCGGTCTCTACCTCCCCTCGTTCTCTACGAACTTGGTGGCGGGTGCTGACCTACAGGATGCAGGGGTTGACCAGTTCACCCCTGCGCGCCGACGAGACACCCACTGCACGGACGCGGACACGGGTCGACACTTGACCACGTTCACACGTGGGCCGGGATCGAGCCTGTACACACTCACTGTTCCGTCTCCTCCTCCTGCGTCTGGTCAGGTAGCTGCGTCGGGTCAGGTGTTTGCTGCAGCGTCCAGGTCTGGTCCTGAGTCTGCCCCCTGCTCGTGTCGCCTCCTGTCCCACGAGACCCTCCTGTGGCACCACCGCATGGGTCACCCCTCCCTGCCTCGTCTCCGGGGCATGGCCTCTCGCCTTCTTGTCTCTGGTCTTGTGACCCCGTGCTCTCCCCCACTTTGCCTATGGGGGTGTGTCAGATGATTATATATTGCTGATGCATATATGTAGGCTGTAGTGGGGTAGCCCATAGGGGGTACAACCCAATTAGGGTTGGTACTTGTACTTGTTTCATTTCATAGTGCACCACTCCTCGCCTCTATCTCAACACCGAGCACAAGGGCGACGCTCAACGAGGACAACCTGACCTCGTATATCCTGTAGGACGAGGCGATGCAGGAGGCTGAGCGGTCGCAGGAGCTCTTGGCGCAGGCGAACTTGGTTACCTCAGTGAAGCAAGGAGGCCGACCGGGGCAGCGCGGGCAGTCTGGCGGTGGTGGTAGCAGTGGGTGGAAGCCGGCCAAGGAGGTCGACAAGCGGAAGTCGACCAAGGACAGCGGTCGTGGAGGTGGAGGTCGACGTCGGGAATGCTGGCTTTGCGGCGATCCCGACCATCTCTCCTTCGAGTGTCCCAACCGCAGCGACTCCGACGACGACGATGCTAAGGGAGGCCGTGGGAGGTCTGGCAGCCGTCGTCCTCGTCGTGGAGGAAACCAGCCGCGCAAGGAGAAGTAGTCGACCAAGACATCGACCTCGGCGAAGGACGCCGACTCCCCTGCTGGCGGCAAGGGGCGAGACGACAAGACGGCGTCGTGCTCGCTGGTCGGCGTCGTGGAGCCGACCATCTCTCTGGCACCGGAGGCCGGAGAGGACTTCCAGGCAGTGGCGGCAGCTGTACAGGCGAACCCGGTGGTGGTCCTGCTCGACAGCGATTGCTCCCACCACCTGATGGGGACGAAGGAAGCCTTCGTCGACTTGCAGCCGAGCGGCGCCATCAGGCATGTGCGCGGCTTAAATGGGGCGCTGCAGGATGTCCAGGGCTGCGGCACTGTCGCTCTGCAAGGGGAGGCCGGGAAGCAGGTGCTCATCCCCGACGTGCTGTACGTCCCGGGTGTTCGGGCCAACTTGCTGTCGGCCGGCCAGCTGAAGGAGCATGGCGTGAAGATGCAGGAGGACGGAGACGGCATGCTGCTCGTCTCGGCAGCAGGAGTGGTGCTCGGTCGGGCGACGTACACCGGGCGTGTCCTCTGCACCGACCTGCGTCCCTTCTCAACGCGGTCGACGTCGCCCACAACGGAGGTTGTGGCTCTGCGGGCGATCGTCTCGAAGACGAAGTCGATGCCGGACTGGATGCATGCACGGCTTGCACATGTCGGCATGGACACCATACGGAGCTCGGCGAAGAATGAGGTCGCCATTGGGCTGGACCTCAAGTCGGCGACGGACGCCGACTCCCCGTGTGTCTCGTGCGTCGGCGGGAAACTAGCGCGGCACACCTTCCCCGACCAAGGCTCCGACGCCGACGACGTGCTGGCCGTCGTGCACATCGACCTGTGCGGGCCGTTCCGCGTGGCTGCAAAGGATGGTAGCCTGTACTTCTTGCTGCTGAAGGACTGCAAGACCCGCTACGTGTGGGTGAAGCCGGTCGCCAAGAAGTCAGATGCGTTGCAGGCGTTCTTACAGTGGCTGGCGGTGGCTGAGCGGCAGACGAAGAAGTCGGTGTTGATGCTGCGCTCAGACCGGGGAGGGGAGTTCCTCGGGAAGCAGTTCACCGACTTCGTGAACGACAAGGGGATCGTCCACGACCTGACCTGCCCATACACCCCACAGCAGAACGGCATGGCGGAACGGAAGATGAGGACGGTGGTGGAATCGGTGCGGACAATGCTGCTGCACATGGGTGTGCAGCACCCTAGTGGCACCTCGCTCTGCGGCAGGCCGTCTGGGTCCGCAACTGCCTTGAGAGGTCGACGCTGCCACCGGGGACGACGCCGTACCAGGTGCTAACTGGGAAGAAGCCCGACTTGTCGCTGGCGCGGGTGTGGGGCTGCATGGTGCAGTTCCTTGTTCCTGAGCAGCAGCGTGGTGGGAAGCTGAAGCCGAAGGCCAAGTGGGGCCTGCACCTTGGTGTGTCGGCGGCGAGCAAGGGCTGAGAGCTCCTTGACGTCGCCACTGACCGAGTGGTCACCACGTCGGACGTGGTGTTTTACGAGGAGATGTCGCTGGCTGAGTGGAAGACGGAACATGGGCCGGTGTCCGGCCGCTCGCCGTCCACACCGCCCTCTGACACCTCGTCGGCGACGCTGCCGCTGCTTGCCGAGGTTGGTGAGCTTGCTACTGAGGACGTCGAGGACGTCCACACCCCTACCCCTCACCCTCTGACCCTTGCCCCTACCCTCGTGGCCGACCTGCGTGGGCTGACCACGGTGTCGGCCTCCGGCGATGAGGGGAGTCGTGGGACGCCGCCTTCGGCGCCGGCCAAGTGCATCGCCAGTGGCCGACGTGACGAGCGGCAGGTCGACGTGGGATTGCAGTCGACAGGGCAGGAGCAGGTCGAGGAGCAGTAACCGACAAGGGAGCAAGTTGCCGTGAAGCCGACCACGGAGCAGTCGGCGACCGGGCCGTCGGCAGGGGAGCCGACCACAGGGGAGAAGTCGGCTGGGAAGCCGACCACAGTGGAGCAGTCGGCCGGAACGCCGGTTGAGGAACAGCAGGACTCCGAGGGCAGCGACGACAGCGATGATGGAGGGGATGCCGAGGGGGCCCAGCCGGGACCACGGCGTTCAGGCCGACTTCGGAGGCCGCCTGACTTCTTCGTCCCCGCTGCCTTCACCACGGTGTATGACGTGGACGATGACGACGACCTGCTGTACGACGACGCCGAGGAGGATGAGGAGTTTCCGGAGCTCGACCCCGACATGCTAGCCGACCCCGCGCACCGTTGGGACATCTCGACGATGACGGTGAAGGAGGCGTTGGCGAGCTGGAAGGGCCCGGCGGTGAAGGCCGCCATGGAGGAGGAGATTCGCAGCCTCCTCAACATGGGCACTTGGGAGCTGGTCGAACGCCCGCCGGGAGTGAACGTCATGAAGAACCGGTGGGTGTTGACGACGAAGTACCACATCGACGACACCGTCGAGCGAGAGAAGGCGAGGCTGGTCGTGAAGGGCTTCACACAGGTGTACGGCGCCGACTACGACGAGACGTTCGCGCCGGTGAGCAGCTACGTCACGCTGAGGATCTTCCTCAGCATCGTCGCCGTCCTCAACCTCAACCAGATGCAGCTCGACATGAAGAACGCCTTCCTGCAGAGCAAGCTCGATCGGGTGCTGTACATGTCCCAGCCGGACTACTTCAACGATGGAACCGGCCGGGTGTGTAAGCTGCTGAAGAGCCTGTACGGGCTGAAGCAGTCGCCGCTGTTGTGGTACTTGGCGCTCAACGATGTGCTGGTCGGCACCGGGTGGAAGAAGAGCCAGGTCGATGAGGCTCTTTACTTCAAGGTCGGCGAGGGTGGAGTGGCCTGCTGGGTGCTGGTCTACGTCAACGACCTGCTTGCCGCCAGCAGCAGCGCCGCGATGCTGAAGGAGCTGAAGGAGCTGCTGGAAGCCGCCTTCGAGCTGCGCGAGATCTCGCCGGTACAGAAGTACCTCGGGCTGGAGATCGTGCGCGACAGGTTGGCGGGGAAGCTGTAGCTGCACCAGCAGGGCTACGCCGACAAGCTGCGTCGGTGCTTCATTGACGAGGAGCAGACCGGGCGCACCCCGAAGACGCCGGTCTCGGTCGGTGCCTACGCCGAGCTCACCTTCGATGACGAGGAGGCGAAGGAACGGCAGGAGGAGGAGTACCGGCAGAAGGTCGGCTCGCTGCAGTTCGCGGCGACGACGATGAGGCCAGACGTCGCCTTCGCCTGCAGCAAGCTGAAGAGCGGCCTCACGGTGAGGAGCGACCAGCACTGGCGCCAGTGTCGTGTGGGCTGGGTGCCCGAGCTGTACTGCCGTGTGGGCTGGGTGCCCAAGCGTGAACGCGGCAGGGGAGTGTCAACGGGAGTTGGGTATTGGCCCCGTCCTCGCTTGGGCGGAACCAACTTCGTGGTCGGGTGTGAGGGGAGCAGCCGACCTGCAGCAGTGGGTGAGCTGGTCGACGAGGAGGTCGACCTGCACGGGGGACCACTGCACGGGCGCCGACTTCAGGGTGGCGCCGACTTCAGGGAGGTCGACTTGGGAGTCGACCTGCGGAGGACGTCAACTAGGTGAAGCCGACTTCGACGGTCGGCTAATGGACCGCTGGTCGACCTGCGGGTGGTCGACTGGACCTGGTGGTCGACGAAGGAGGGACCGACGTCGACCTTGACGCAGGACGCCG